TATCAGTGAAAACAGAATTCCAGGAAACAAAATTCCAAGGTATTAAAGCTTTACACAAAAGCACATGGTCTTTATTCAGTAAAGCCTGCATTAAATAAGATCCTCATATCTCTTAAACAAACAAACAAACAAAAAGTCTTCCAAAGAAGTCGTGTTGCTTTCTCTCTGTGACATAGAATTATGAAAAATATTGTTCTTTAAAGGAGAGAGTTGGAGTTTAAGAAAAGCAACACAGTTCTACCAATGACAGAAAAATTATAGTATGCGTAGGTAGGTCGCCAAGCAAACTTGCCACTCACTGTTCTCCGAGGACTTCCAGAAATTCACATCATTACAGTGTGTCCACAGCCTGGATAAAGAAGTTCGGAAGACAGAATTGATGTGGAGTGAAGCTTCTCATTTTTAGTACTTTAGTATTTGTTTTCCTTATTGCTTTTATTATCTTAAAATGTGAGACCGTCATCATCTTAAGCAACTACTTTATTCCTCTGATTTGTAAAATCATCATATTTAGTTCATTGGAGACAATGAGACAGCCTCTTGTGGCAGAAAGAGAAGAGAGGAGAGCAAGGTTGGGGATGCCTGTTATTTCTCTACCTCCCTGGGCCATGTCAGTATCTGACAACTCCTCCAAACTTAACTCTTCTAAGAAGCCTACCCAACCCCCACCACACATGTAGTAGGAAATGTAAGCTAAAAAGGAAGCACCTAAAAGCTAATGTCCGTGGGGCTTTGTAGAATAGAAGACTAAGTAAATCCCACACATATTTTCAAGGCCACTGCTAGTCAAAGCTGTAGGGTAAAGACAATTTGCACCTAAGACTTACCATCTTCCATTTAGACATCGTCTCCCTTTGGGGTGCCTAGTACCTGTGTGGCATGCTGTGGCTGCCCCGGGCACCTTAATTCAGTAATCCATATAAAGTGTCCTACAGGCAACAAGCCATGCTCTGGAAATATTTGTTGTTACCCCTTGTCAGAAATCACTTACACTGGATCTTTTTTGCTCAGGTTTAATTGCCTGTCTTCCCCAACTAGAATGAAAGATCTATAAGGATCTTTGCTTTCTTCACTGGAGGATCCCAAACACCTAGAATAGGGTCTGGCACATGGAACAAAAGAACAAACCTATCTATGTCATTATGTCAGTTGCTACTAATGGCTTAAGTCAGAGCTTCCAGAACCAGATATGGCCAACAGGAATGTCCCCTTTGTCCTACAGAGTATTTGGGAAAAAAAAAAAATTTTTTTTTAAGTCGGGACCATTCATTCAAAAATCTTAGCTTCTCTGAAAAAGGTGGAAGATCTGGTAACAATGGCAAGTGCCTTCCCTCCCTCACATGGGGTGTGGCCTTCCCATTTTCCTACCACGGCCTGTTGGCTTCCCTAAACCGAGACTGTCAGTTCCAGTATTGAGAAGCAAGAGATAGAATTTTAGAATATTAGGATTCTTTTACTTGGCCTACAGTTGCCTTATTTGCTGCTGATACTAGAATTTGAGTTTGTGACTCCAGTCTTTAAACATTTTCCTTCCAGGTAATGTGTTTTTGTTTTGCTTAGAGCACTTTGAAGACTGAAAACGTATAATGACATGGTCAGAAATGTCACACGTTTTGATGGGAGAAATATTTTAGGCTGGTAGAGCTTCCACGTCACACCATGGAAGTGGCTGCCTTTTCTCTCTGTACGTAGGCCCTTTGCTTAGGAAAAAATAAGATCTCTAGGTTCTTCTCATTTTCCTGAAGGCTCTTTCCTCCCAAGCCCTCAGAAGTTCTACAGTATGCATTGGGCCTCTTAGTAACACCTCTTTTTAAATTTTGGATGCTTTTTTTTTTTTTTCCCCAAATACCCATATTTAGAGAGCCATTCCAAAATCTTACTGAATGCTTAATTCCTTGTGGAAAGGGTATTTCTCGTCAGTGAATTTATATGCAACGACCGCTTTATAGTTCTACTTACCGCCTGGAAGGAGCCAGTTAGAAACCACCTGGTGAGGGAGAACAGCAAAGGTGCTCCAGGAAGATCAGTCAGGCCTCAAAGGAATTTTCCTTGTGTTTGGCCATGTACACAATTAAGAATCACTGGCTAAGAACAAACTACTTGTTTGTTTCACATTTTGGAGGACTTGGTAGTAGTCACTTCTCTGTGACTGGCTAAGAACGAGACGAATTCACAGAGACTCCTACGAGGAGGATGGGGGAAATCATACTGCAAAAGATGACCATAACTATGATTTTACCTAAAATGGTGTCATTATCAAAGCAGAATTATTTTTTTAAAGATTTTATTTGCTTATTTGACAGAGAGAGAGACAGTGAGAGAGGGAACAGAAGCAGCGGGAGTGGGAGAGGGAGAAGCAGGCTTCCCGCGGAGCAGGGAGCCCGATGCGGGGCTCGATCCCAGGACCCTGGAATCATGACCTGAGCCGAAGGCAGACGCTTAACGACTGAGCCACCCAGGCACCCAAAGCAGAATTATTTTAACATAAAAAAAATCATTTTTGTTAATTGACGCTTATTGGACTTCGAGGTAATAGTATATAACTTTAGCCTGACATTCTTATTTAGTCTATGTTTGTATTCTAAATATCAAGTTTTGGGATGCCTGGGTGGCTCAGTCGGTTAAGCATCTGCCTTGGGCTCAGGTCATGATTCCAGGGTCCTGGGATGGAGTCCTGCATCGGGCTCCCTGCTCAGTGGGGAGCCTGCTTCTCCCTCTGCCTGCCACTATGCCTGCTTGTGTTTTTTTTCTCTCTCTCTCTGATAAGTTAATTAATTAATTAATTAATTTAAAAAATACCAAGTTTTCTTTTTAGGAAACCTAGTATCTTTCTTTTGAAGCAACATTTGTCCAGCATATGCATTTTTCAACTAAAATAACTTGTTTAATATATAGGCACCCTTCCTGTGTTTAAGGCTCAGCAGAAAACAAGCCAGCTGAAGTTGCTTCTCTCCTTGAGCTTACCTTCAATTGTCATATAATAAATGCATGAGAAAACGAATAGTCTGCCAGGTAGATAGAGGCTGGGCAGGAAAAAAAGTAACGTGTGGAGGTTGAGAGAGTTGAGGGAGCGGATGGGGATATGTAGCAAGGGGTGCTCTTTTATTAAGTGAAGTCAGAGAGGGTAATATCTGAGCTGAAACCTGAAAACAGTAAGGGAGCCAGTCATGCACAGACTGTGGGCAGGGTGCAGCAAGTGCAGAGACCCCTTAATGCGCATGCTCAGTGTGCTCAAGCATCAGCAAGCTGACATAGAGACTGGAAAGAAATGAGCATGGGAGCAAGGGAGTGATGTCACAGAGGAGCCAGTGAGCGGAACTGCAGGGCCTCATGGGACATTGTGAAGATGTTAAAGGTTATATCAAAGGTGATGACAAGCCTTTGGAAGGTTTTGAGTAGAGGAGTAACTTGATAAAATTGACGTTTTAAAATCAATGATGAAATTGATGATGAGGTATTAATGATACCTTTCATGTCGTTTATTGATCATATATTGTGTGCCAAGCACTTGATATATGTTATCTAATTTAATCTTGTATGATGTAGTATGACGGTAGTCACTGTGGCTATTTGTATAGGACAGATGAGTCCATAACTATGCAGTTGGTCATGAGTAAATTGACCACAGTCACACAGGTAGTACATGGCAGAGCTAAGTTTAGTAAAATAGTGGTATTTTTAAATCCTTTAATATCAGATGCCTGGGGGCGCCTGGGTGGCTCAGTTGGTTAAGCAACTGCCTTCGGCTCAGGTCATGATCCTGGAGTCCCGGGATCGAGTCCCACATCAGGCTCCCTGCTCAGCGAGGAGCCTGCTTCTCCCTCTGACCCTCCCCCCTCTCATGTACTCTCTCTCATTCTCGCTCTCTCAAATAAATAAATAAATAAATCTTTAAAAAAAAAAATATCAGATGCCTGGGTGGCTCAGTAGGTCAAGCATCTGCCTGCAGCTCAGGTCATGATCCCAGGGTCCTGGGATCGAGTCCCACATCGGGCTCCCTGGTCAGCAGGGAGTCTGCTTCTCTGTCTCCCTCTGCCTCTCCCCACTGCTTGTGCAATTTCTCTCTCTCTCAAATAAATAAATAAAATCTTTTAAAAAAAATCCTTTAATATCTTTCATGAAGTATCACATCATAGGCCTTAGTAGATAAGACTGATTTTCTTTTCTTGTTCATTTTATATCATTGTAGCCTTAAATGGAAGAAACCTTAAGGCTTATGTAGATTATGACTTGCCTATTTTTCTAGACATTTTTAAAGTGAAGAAGTGTTATTATCATGTATAATAATATCTTCTGATTAGAGAGAATGATATGTAAAAACACCACCCAAAAATGAAAGCTCCTAAATAAATAGTTCCTACAGAACACTGGTTCTTGATCTATAAATTCAGAGTTGTATCTCAGTATCATGGATTTCCTTAGTAGTCTTAAGTATTTTTTTTTTCAAAGCATTTAAAAACAGTATTTTGAGAAAGGAGACCATAGGCTTCCCCAGACTGCCAAAGGAGCCTCTGGGTGTAGAGACAGTGTGTGCAAGTGTTCCAGGGAATTGGTGTGAACCCGAGCAGAACTGCTGTAAATGGTTCTGGGTTTCTGATGTTTGGGGAAGGGAGGGGAGAGTGCCAACCAAGTATGTGCCAAAGCTCACAAAGAGGCCAGCTGTAGCTGGGGTGACCACATGTACCAATCTGTCCAGGATTGCTCCAATTTATGTTTTTGTCCAGATGTAATTATTAGTTATCACCTTCTTTCACTCTCAAGAGTGTCCCAGTGAGAACAGTAAATTATATGGCCACCATTAGCTCTAGCTATTCTCAAGAAAGCAAGGGTGGGAGATGTAGCCAGTTGAGAACTATCTCCAGGACATGTGGTAGGGGCTGCCAACCCCTGCATTCAGGATTATTTTGATAACCCATGGGTGTAATCAAAGTTAGAAGATTTAGCCAAAAGATACGATGGAAGAAAACACTGTTTTAATGATAATTATTTCTCGTTCACAGCCAAAAATGAGCATAAAATGGAAGAAAGTCACTTGGAGAATGCACAGAAAAGGTAAGTGGCTCTGACTTGGCCTTAGTCCTTTCTTTGGCTAGCTGTTCCTTTTTATGAGTGTTATTATTAAGTGCAGTCATTTTGCTCTGCAACCATCACCACCGTCTGTCTTCAGAACGAACTCATCTCCAAATAGAACTCTGTACCCATTAAACCATAACTCCCCCATTCTCCTCCCTTACCCCGGCTCCTGGCAACCATTATTCTACTTCCTGTCTCTGTGACTTTGACTACCCTAGATACCTCATATAAGTGGAATCAATACAGCATTTTTCATTTTATGACTGGCTTATTTTACTTAGCATGATGTCTGACTAGCCATTCTTTCGGCCCCATTTGTTGAGACTATACATCCGTGAGCAGTAAGATTCTATCGGGAGCTGAAGGGAAAGCACTAGGATAAGACTTGGAAACATTTCTCCTCAAAGAGCACAGAACCATTGAGAAGTGATTGACAAGCATCACGTCATGACACTCTCTGCCTCTCCTCCATTTCTCTGCTCCTGAGCCACTTTATGGAAGTTAGGAACAACGTGATCCTTCTTAGCATTACAACTAGATTAAACCAATTATGGCAAACATCTAAGAGACTTATTATGTCTTTCCTCAGACCTGAGAGGATACGGTAAACAAGGGGCAAGTGGGGAGGAGGGACTGACCCCTATATATAAAAAGTGCCTCCGAAATTGGAAGAGACCTCAGGAGTCTTCTGTTCTACCCGTCACCCACTTCAGGCCCCTTCTTTGCTCTTCTCTCTCTTAATAGACAGCAGAATGGAACCATCCAGTTCACCCAGTAATCAGTGGCTCTGGTCCCTGATAGAGGATTTTATTTTTGTCTGCTGACCAGGTTAGTCAGCTTGGCTATACCTCTACTCTTAAAAGGGTGAGTGAGAATATACTGAGGCATTCTCATTTTCAGCACAGAGAACCGAGATACATTTTGCTGGTGTTAATTCTAGAAGGACTAGAAAGTTAAATGAGAGGTAGGGGTAGGAAGTAGCCTATAAGGACAACAAACTTTACAAATGTGTGAGGAGAGGAGTTAATTAAACGCAACTGAACAAACTCTAGAAACAAACCATTTCCTCCTGTCTAGCCACAATTTCCAAGAGTTCTTAAAGCCTACAGACAGTGCTGTCAGCTCTGCTTTGGCGGGCGCCAACATCTTGCCCTGCTTCCAACTGCCAATCAAATTAAAATGCAGATGAAAGTGAAGTTGAGGCAAATCCTGCATTTTTCTAATTGCAGACATGTTCTTGAGTCAGGATTATCAAGTAAGCATGATCATCTTTAAAAACCACGATGATGGTTTTAAAGATTTTTGTGCCCCTTGATTGGCCTTATCCCTATATTAAGTTTTCCCTTCCTCCATGTATAAAACGAATATGTCTATGTTACGTTCCGAAAAGACATCCACACCTTGGTGTCAGGTCAAACAGAAATTTGGGTTTCCAGGGTGGATGTCAAATTTCTAATATTTCTTCAAGCTTCTTGCTGAAGGAAAAGGGGGCCCACCTTCGAGGGGCCGAAGCTGCTGCTGTGCATTAGCTATGCTGAGGGGGGTCATAAATTTTGGTTGTCAGCGTTTTCCGTGACTTTGTGGTGAAGGTAGTGTAGCTTTCATGTCATACATGAAATATGTTAGATCCCATCTTTAATGTAGAAAGCACAGTTGTTTGCTTGCACTTTTTAAGGAGGTTGGTGGTCAGTGTTGCAATATTTGTGTGAGATTTAGGAAATTCTTCTGTTTTATTCTCAAGAGAAACAATTTACTCTGAGGCCACGACAAGTTTGCTTTTCCTAAGCAGTTTCTAAAGGCATGCATGTGAAACAGTAAGGGGACGTGTCCTGCTTTGGCACCTCAACACTAAAAAGTAAAACAACTCACGTTGTTACCAGCTCTTTGATAGTGTCGTCGTTGTCTGTGCTTTAAAAACATTTAGCTGAATTACAAAGATAGGAATCAGATAAGGAATTGGAGCAGAGAGGAAAAAAAGGGAATAGAGCAAAGGAAAGAAGTTTTATGAAACATAACATATGATTAGAAATCAATCTTCTACAAGTTGAAAGCTGTTTGAGAGTTATCTGCTGACAAATAGAAATTTCAGAAAGCACGATGGCCCCTTTGTCCATTGGAGAATATTAGCCTGGCTGTTAAAGATCAGCAGTTTTCAGGAGGACAGTAGTCTAGACCTTATGAAGCAGTCGTAGGCTCATATTCTAGCCCTTTAGCTTCTCCTTGAACGAAGGGATAACCCCGAAGTCAAATAAGGCACATCCTCAGAGCAACTTCCTCTTTGTCGAAGTTGCAGAGTGCCAAAGCCAGGCCATCCCCTGGGACTTTGTTTTTGCTCTGGTTCTTCTGAAGAGGTTCACTTGCTTTCTTAGTTTCTAAAACACATGGGGGAGGGCGGGGAGAGAATGCTGAAATTCAGTATTTCCTTTAGTCTCTGTCCTGTTCGAGGGTTAGCAAGCAAGGCCTCACAAACCCCCAGGGTGAGAGGTGGTGAGGGTACATGGTTAGCTCCAGTGTAGGCTGGGAAAAGTGAGGCCTCCAGGATGACGATATGCTTTTCTGAAGCTCTGTGGTAACCTACTGAACAACACTGGCATTCTATGAACAGTCACTGGTACTTGCAGCCTCTGGGTCTCAGGATCTAGACTCCAGATATTGCGAGGGCTGCTGAGGTGATCCGTGAGGCACAGGGACTGGAGTTTCTGTCCTCTTCACTATATCCTGCTGGGAAATCATTTGCTCCTCTGAATACTAAGAGGGAAAGACTTTCTCTTCTCTATTAATGCACAAATAAGTATGTTTCTGTATCAAAGGTGACCATAAGGAAGAGAAAAACGATGATGATGTGCTCTGCTGGGGGGGTGCTCCTGGGGGGCAACTGTGTCTAAAGAGGAAACAGAAAAAAAAAAAAAAGAAAGAAAAGAAAAATGCCTGTGTTGATGAGCACGAGCAACAGAAGGGTGGAAAAATCATTTCACTGAGAACTGGGGGACCCGAGTGGTAGGCCCAACCCTGCCATTGAATAAAGTCATTCAATCAGGTCTCTGTTTTCTCATCTCTAAAATGAGAACCTTGAATGAGTTGACCTATTACATCCCTTCCAGTTCTAAAGCCCCATGACTCTATAAGAAATTCATGGCCTCTTCCCATCGGTTACATAACCCTCTACTTGTGTATTTCCACACCACAGTCAATATAATTTTCATTTTGAATGAAATAAAAGTGTATGCCATAGAGCATAGTACATTTGGTTTTATCAGTATTTTGACTGCCACAGAGTTAGGCATCGCCTAACATTGCGACTTTCTTCCATTACTGGTTTTGTTCCAAATTATGTATGTTTGGAATTAGAAGAGAGTCCCTTAAGAAATGATTGCAGTTATTGCCTTTCTCCACTTATGCACTTCCAATCTTTTAATAACTGGGAGCCCAAATTCCCTGGCCAGTAGTTTTAATTTGCATTAAAAACAGATTTATTATTTACAGAAGCACAAAGAATTTATGGGACTCAGAGTTGCAGCTCCAGCTTGGATCTCACCTAATCATAGCCATGGAATCAATTAACAGTTCATCTGTGAAATGTGATAAAATCTTATGAGATACATATTGCCCAATAACTGAGAACGAGATGAAAGTATTCTCCATAATAGTGACGGGGCTTCAGGGTTTTACAATTGCCATTGAATGGAGCTCCATTAGAAACTCAGGATTCAGGATGGCCACAAAAAAAAAAAACCCACTGTGTCTGAACAGATGATAGAGCACTGAGTAGTAAATGTGGCCAGCCATTCCTGCTTTGATTAGTTTCCAACACCCTAGAAAAAGGGGCCATTTATTTAAGTGTTCTTGCTCATGGCAAATGAGCTTGTGAGGCTTTGGGTGGGTGAAGGTTGGGGGTGGAGGCCTAAGTGCAGAGCTATAAATCGCTACAAAGCTAGAGCCTCCAAGAAGGGCTGCTTGGGAGGCCTGTAGCAGTCTGGTGTGCAGTGAGCCTCCATGGGGTAGGTCAGGAGATTCGGAGCAATGCCTGAGAATCAACTTTGGAAAACCTGGATCCTTTCCTGACCAGATTAGAGATCGTCTTTCCAGGATCAAAGATGGTTTTTCACCCAAACCTTGCCGTGCCTTCGGTTATATCTCTTTTTATGCCTCGGTGGTTTGTATTCTTATAGCATATCAAGCTTTAAAATGTAACCTTCTTAGAGATCACCTATTCTAAGTCTTATCTTACCCTTGAGAAAACGGAAAGTCTGATGCTGAGTGACTGACCCAAGATCAAAAAGCCAGCGGATGGCAGAATAAGGATAGAATAGTCTCTGGATTTTCCATGAAGTGCTCAATAGATTAATTATTCCTGATGGGCTGTCTAACTGACCACTGCTAAGGCTACAGAATCAATATGTCATCATTATATGTCCATGTACTCATTAAACATAATATGAAGAGCTGGTAAATGATGTGGATTTGAGATGAAGAGCAAACTCATAGCTTCACCGGCATACCGCCTGGAATCAGACATGCTCATTTTTATATACATAAGATGTGACCAGGAGTATCAGATTGAATTTCTTGGAGAAGTGGTTTAAGTAAATAGGTTTTCTGAGGCTCCGGATAAGCCACAGTCACTATGAGGCTGGGCTTCTGTCTTAGAGAATGAATATATGGTAAATGCCTCCCCCCGCCGCCCCCTAGCAATCCTGCCCTGAGGGTATGGACAGTTTCTCACCCCCCATCTCACTCTGTTTTTTTCCCCCTACCTGTTGCAGTTTTGAAACAACAGTAGGATATTTTGGGATGAAGCCCAAGTCCGGTGAGAAGGAAATCACACCCAACTATGTGTTTATGGTATGGTACGAATTCTGCACTGACTTCAAGACCATTTGGAAGCGGGAGAGTAAAACTATATCTAAAGAAAGGTAAGGTTCTAATGGAGTCGTATCAATACCTCTTTCAGGAATCGGGGAAACTGCCTTGTCAAAGCTCACCGAGGGAGCGCATTTTACACGCATCAGGATTTTCTTTCAGACCAAGTGGACATTGAGGAAAGATTATTGCCTGGGGGCTCGCGGGGGAAATCCACACAAGCAGATAGCTCACGTGATCTGATAAGTTACACTTTCTTAACCCCTTCCAATTACTAGCTAGTAAATGAAAGGGGAGCTGTGCTAATTTGCAACAGATTGCTTCTCTGTGTATTTTCACATTGGCCCAGGCTAAATGAGGTAGCCTTGCTGTCGCAGACAGTACAGACAAATAAAAGTGAATGCTTTTCCCATTAATATACTGAACTTGCATCAAAAGGAAATCTCTGAGACTCAGGCCACACTTAACACAGCGTTGAAGCCCCGCTCTGGATTTACAGCGCCACTTCTGACTCCTCGTATCCTGCTGAGGACATCAAACTGCTTGCCGCTCAGCCTCATTGCAGCCTCCCGATTTTATTAGTTGGGGGTAGAGGAAAAATCTCCACTCTGAATACAAGGGGAGAGAGAGAGAGAGAGAGAGGGAGGGAGGGAGGGAGTTCATTCTACTTAGAAAGAGACTAACTTTGGCCCTGCTTATCAGAAAAAAAAAAGCATTTCTGCTTGATCACTGTTTTGATCAGGTCGCCACTGTTCTACAAAGGGTGTCATGCATTTAAACTTCAAAAAGGTCTTGTTGTACTGCTGCAGAACAGAAGTATGAGAGTGTCATTCAAAGCGAAGTAGGAGACCAAAAAAAAAACAAAACTACAAATTAAGGGAAATGGCTTATCTATGGCATCCATATCTCGCTAAACATTGAGACCTCGAATTCCGTAATTCAGGATTTTTGTTCTTTACTTCGTGATCAGAGAAAAGGCATATACATAATATATCTGCACGCTCACATGTACAATACACTAATATGTTTCACGTTAAAAAGCTATTTTTAAAGGGATGAAGGTTTAGAGATTTTTGACCCAGTATTCCTGAGTCTCTAAATATTTTCCTCAGGGGTTTTTTTTCTGAGGAAGTCAAAGACCTTTAAAAATGCTTATCAGCATTTCTCTTCCACCATTACTTGTTTGAAAACAAGGGCATTAAAGTGAGTGGATCCATTATATAGATAAAGTGAAGCAAAAGAATAGTTGTGACATTGTTAAGAAAATAGATGGTTAATAATGTGGAGGAGGGATGCCTGGGTCGGTTAAGCATCTGCCTTCTGCTCTGGTCTTGATCCCAGAGTGCTGGGATCGAGCCCCGCATCGGGCTCCCTGCCCAGCGAGCCTGCTTCTCCCTCTGCCTCTGCCTGCCACTCCCCCTGCTTGTGCGCTCTGTCAAATAAATAAAATCTTTAAAATAACAATAATGACAACAACAACAATAATAATGTGGAAGAAAAAACCCTACAACTCTTGGAGTCTGACTTCTTGCTCTTGCCCCGCAGTTGCTTATTTGGCCTTTTCAGCTTACCTAAGCTCCTGTGGCACAAATTCTGTGCCGTGAGCCCCATAGGAAAGTGATAGAGCCGAGCTCCTGCAGCCGCTCGGCAGGCAGCTCTCGGCACCCACACCCAAAGGCCAGGCAGTCCAGCAGGGCATCTGGAATGGACAGCCTTTGTGTAAGATCTTGTGCCTCAGATTCTGAGTGTCACCCTTAGTGAATTTGTCCTTCTAGTTGGAGCCCTAAAAAAACAGTCCCGGGGAATAAAAAGGGGGGGGTAATTAATTGCTTTTTAGTTTAAGAATCTTCTGTTGAAATATTGAACTGTTGTCCAAATTAAGGAGTTTTCCCCCATCATAGAACTTCGAGCAAACTAACTGTGAGTCTGACGCGGCGGTGGGATCCACCCGTCCTTCAAAGCACTGCTCCCTACTAGCCACCGGCCCGTCCAGCGCTGCTTCTTCCTGGGTGCAGCTAGGGAATTGCCTGCTTCACACTCTGTAAACCAACACCTTTCAAGGGTCATGACTTCACAGGACCCTTCTCAGTTCTCCTCACTTAGCAATTTCAGGGGTCTCTCCATTCCAGCCGTGCTTTTGCGAGATGGATCACCAAGGTTGCCAACCTAGAAAAACATCTCCGAAGTTAATGACAGCTCATAAAATATTTTTGGAAGCAGTTTGTTTACAGAAATCTACTTGTTAAGAAATGTTAGCACATTATGTATACAACTGTTCATCTGGTTAAACAAACTGATTAATATCCAGGGTTTTCTTGTGATGTGAGGATTTTTTTTTTCATTGTCCTCTACCTGCTAAAGACTTTAGCTTTTAAACTGTTGGAATCACATATTCATTATGCTAAAATAAGCAAATTAACTTGAATTCTTCCATTATAATTACATGAGAAACAACATGATCGCTTTGTCTTGACACCCATTTAATCATGTCCATTATTATTAATTTTTATTATACTTTGACAAGAAATCCCAATAAAACTAAACATCAGGAGGTAACATCACATAATACAAAGACATCCTCAAAAAGGAAATTCAAAACCAAATGAAAACCTGAGAGCTTGTAATTATTAGGGAAAAAAAAAAAGCTGTAGTTTGGGATTCCTTCAGAAGAAATTTCACCTATTTGATTTTTAAATATATTTGAAGGCCAGTTAAAATCCCAAAAAATCACTGGGACAAATTAAGGAGAAATAATATTTTCAAAGCTGTAAATTCACTTCCCAAATGAAATGGAAGTGTTGAGAACTACTTTAGGCCACTTGTAATCAATTTGTGGTGGTAGAGAATATTTACTTCTTGTTCTGCTTAACATGGTTTCCATCAATACACATTAGCTTGATGCAAAATTGAAATGGATGTAGCTTCGGGGCGCCTGGGTGGCTCAGTTGGTTAAGCGACTGCCTTCGGCTCAGGTCATGATCCTGGAGTCCCGGGATCGAGTCCCGCATCGGGCTCCCTGCTCGGCAGGGAGTCTGCTTCTCCCTCTGACCCTCCCCCCTCTCATGTGCTTGCTCTCTCTCATTCTCTCTCTCTCAAATAAATAAATAAAATCTTTAAAAAAATAAAAAAAAAAAGAAATGGATGTAGCTTCATAACAGGGTGACAATTTCCCCCTCATAAAACCCAGAATAATATCTAAACACACAAATGACTGTCTTATAAAAACATCCAATGTTTTTGTTCCTTGTGAGTGAATGATAAGCTGTAGCATTAAGCTGGTGTCGGGATGCAATTCTGTTTTTCAGTAGAGGAGACATAGTATTTCACTAGGGATATGACTTACCTGCAGATTAAGTATATCAGTAGAAGAGCAAGCTACTATATGATGGTATATTAATGTCATTAAATTGTCCTTGGCATTTAAGCCAGTATTAGGCAAAATAGCAACTTCTGTGTCCAGGCACAAATCCAGAATGCCCCAGTCCCTAGACATTCGGTCTATGGCCCACCCAGTTCTCATGCTGTCCCAAATACTGGAACTTATCCCTGCAGTGAAATGTACCAGGCCCCTCTTTTACCCCTTCTGATTACAGGGAGTGCTCAGTAGTGCAAAAAAAAACCTCTAGGTGGAGAGTTGAAAATCAACATTTTTTTAATTTTTATTTGTTTATTTTATTATGTTAAGAAAATCAACATTTTTATACCAATAATTTGCTATGTGATCTTGGGCCAGTTGCTTATTGTGTAGGGGACACAATTGTCACATCTGTTAAATATATATATTGGGATAATCTCTTCTAGCTAGTAATCTCTATGAATCTAAAAACTACTTTTCTAATATTCCAAGAAGCAATATATTTCATTTCTGAGATAATGTCTCCCACCTTTACTCTTCAGCTCATTCGGGACTGTATTAGAAGACATTTCTAGCCAAGGTCTGGCGGTAAGCTGCAAAGAGATCTGGGAGCAGGGAGAATTTTCCTTGCCCTCTTGGTTGGTAAATGTCTGTAGCCAACTTGCCTTGTGCCCCGAGTTCTTCCCCTACAATAGTAATGTTGGTCTTGGAGACACCATTTTTTTTTTAAAGTATGCACACAAAAATGTTTTCCTCTGCTCATGTTTATCTAACATTGCATTTAGTGGTTTATTAAAGTTCACTAAATTTTTACTCTCAGAGGCAGCTTTGCCTCATTTTACCTTTTCATGTACTTTTGTATTTGTGCTTCTTGATATCCAAACACTCAGTGAATTTTTGTAACACACACTTCTTCCACCTATTAAATCAATAGATTATCCAAGCATATGCATAATTACAAGGAGGTAACCTAATGTTTGCTACTTTTATAAACTACTCTTTACTCATTTTCTGCTTTTTCTTTTTTTTCTTGTTTAATTACTCCAGGATCTAGGACCCTTTCTTATGAAATGTTTCACTACTTAGGATATCTTAAGACTGCTCCTCACACATGCCCACACATGCACACATAGAGACCACAAACCACTAGGACCCACAAAATGAGCTATGAATTTGCAAAAGGTAAAGAAGTCTCAGGGGATTCATGACTCCAGGAATAAAATCTTGGCAAATAATTCACTCTGAGCCAAAGCAAACCTTAAAAATGCCATTTAAAAAACCCATAATGGGTAAGTAATGAGTGAATAAGGAGTTTGGTGAGTTTTAGGAAAAATGCAAATAAGAACTCTCATTATACACAATTTACACTATGGGGGGAATGGATGGTTACTTTCTCATTTTTAGTTCAGCTAAATACCAACAGGGTTTCTGTTCTAAGTATATTACTTGCCACGATTATGGTTGATTATGCAGTTGGCATACTCTTGACAGCAGATAGTTCAGAGCTGTTGTGGAGTTATCCCAAAAGCTGTCCTCACAGCTCCCTACTGCTCAGGTCACTTTAGGACCAGGAGTTGGAAACTTAGACAGGCTGTCACTCAGCCCACAAAGGAGCCATTGATCACAGTGTAGATGTTGCAGAAATTCCTCTCTTTATATGATAAAGTTTTTCCTGGAAAAAGTTCCATAAACGAAAAT